TTCCGTACAGTAACCGAACAAAACTCAAAAACGATTAGGTATTCAAAAGAATAATCTTGAAAAAAAATAGCAAGAAATTGTAAATGCAATGAAATAAACATATAAAAGGCAAGGCATTAAGGCTAATAAAAATTAAGCAAAACACGAGTAAAGCGAAGAGGTTGAAGAATAAGCAGACAATAAGGTGAATTTAGCCATAAGATTAAGTTAATCTTCAAGACAATTCAACTCAGGTTTGGTTACTTTCAAAATTCATTCAAATTTGAGAATAGTGAAGTTACTTCGTTACTGAGAAATCAGACGAATGAATTGTGAATCTAAACTCAAAACGATGAAACTAGGAGGGCATAATAGATAAAAATGGATAAATAAACAATAGCATTTTTAAAAATTAATGATTTTCAGTCAAGTGTTGAGGAATAGGAGATACCGAAGTTCTCTTATGTCAGTGTACTTGTTTCTAAACCGCAGGAACAATCGAAAAAGCAATGAGCACCCACAACCAGACGCAGTCTGCTACTGCATCTGTCAACTCATTTAAAAATATCCGAAAAAAAATAAGCATCTAGCAAAATAAACAATTATCGAAGCAAAGGCAGACCTGAGAGAAGCATAGGATCAGCGGATTCACCCTTCCGGACGTGATCTGCTTCACCAGTTAACGAACTCTCGTCAACCTTTAGGTCATTGCTCTGAACGATCACACCATCTGCCGGCAAGAGATCGCCTGAATAGAAACAATTGAGATGAAAAATGAGTTGATAAATATCCTATTAATATAAGTTGTAAATTTACAATTATAATATTGTAATATTAAGCAAATTTGCAAATATGCCAAGGGCAGAAGAAGAGATACCACAAATGTTTAGCACACGCTTGGTCAAAGGATCGGCTTCACTTGTCTCTTTGACGACTTGTAATATGGTGCTAGGAATGGCGAGACTCACTGAAGATGCGGACTACGATGCCGGCGAGACGTCTAAGAATGTAATAAGTCCACAGTCATACTCTGGAAATGATGATGCATACAATGGGCTCCGGACTAGGTGCGTTCCTCTAAATCTTCCTACCAATATGACCTAGTCGCGAAAACAAGGTCAAACAACTTCTATACAACGAAAAACGACTGCAAACACACAAAAGGTTACACTATCTTGGTCTTCATACCTTCGATCAAATTTGAAATTTTGTGTTAATGCAAATGATAGTACAATTATGATGTTAATAGTACTTGATGAGTTAGGACCACTACATATCTATGACTGATGCAAATCCTGGTGTTGCAATTACCTTCGTTACTCACCCATCGTGGATAGTATATAGGAAAATCTTAATTGGAAAATCAAATTCATCTATGGGTAGTTTTACCACTAAAGTAGGTAAGTCATAGTCAAAGTGGTGTGGTAGGACATATGTGCCAGTATCTAATATGATACAGCTAGTGAAGGAAAATTAGAAATCTGAATGCCGACGAGATATATCAATTAAAAATCTATAATAATAAAAGTTAGGATATTGTATAGAAGACTGCGACCATACAAAAGGCCACACAATCTTGGTCTTCCTACCTTCGGGTAAATATATTGTGTTTAAATTCATAACGCAATGCGTAAAAAATGCCGTCCTTATCCAGGTTTACACCTCACTCTGTAGTATCAGGTCAAAAGGAAAATACGTTTCTACCTGGGCAAAACAACTCTGGCGCCGTTTGGTTGCATTATATAAACGGCCCTTAGGGCAAAGCAGTCAAGTAGCCACGGAACGCACACACCCACGATTGGAATCCCGCCGGCGATGCTGATTAGATGATGAGGCAGAAACAAAATTTCTGTCTGTCCTGGATCATAATGGATTTTTGAGATGCATAGTAAGGGAATTTCGATTTTAAAAACAAAGATTTGCAACAAATTATCGTTCTAAAAATCGTTATCAGTTCCTGTAGCATCAGATCGACAATAAGCGCAGTCCATTACCAAGAAAGCGGTGTAGGACGTGAATATTGTGATACCAAAGTGGGACAGAATGGGAAGACTCTAAAGATCAAGATATTTTTGTAGATTTCTTTTTAAAAATAAAATGACTCATCCTGGTGCTGAGTATATCCGCTAAATCGAGGGGAGTTTAGAATCATATTTAATGAGATTTGAAGAAGAAGATTTTGGCCTGCTACAAGAAGAATTCAATAAATTGGAATAAAAGTTTAAGTGCACTCAAGGATAAATAAATAAATACCCTTTAATAACAATTAAATAGAAGCTTTAATGATGCGAGGCTGGGTGTAATCATGTAAAAGGTATGGAAGCAAGACGGAACAAAAACGTGAATACGAATAAATGAGTGACCACAGTTCTGCTAATTAAGAATAACACAAAATAAAGCCAAGACTAAGCGGAGAAAGGGAATAGAAAAAGTTAGATTAAAGTAGAAGACAAAAGTTATTCGTATAAAGTCATACCATATTTGACTATACAAATGTCGCCAACAACAATGTCGCCGACGAGAACCTCCGCAATTTCGCCATTCCTTATCACAGAGATTCGATGGTCCGACTCGATCTTGTCCTGCAGGCCGCGAAACTGACGCTCTTTCTGCCAGTCATTAACAGCTGTCACTATGACAACGACAATAACAGCACCCAAAATAGCCAGACCCTCTATCCAGCCGTATTCTCCCTCCTCTTCGGCTGCACCCATCGCCTCGCCCTCACCGCCAAATGCTGATGGGATAAAGATAGATTTGGAGAAAAAGACTGAAATAATGAGTGTGTCAAAGTTTTTAATTATATATTCACTTTGAATATGTTTGGAAGCTATGGGTAATTATTGAATAAGCACTTAGTCCCCATAGCCTCATGACGCAAATGAATTTCATTAAGCCTTGCCTCCCAAAGGTTTTATCGTTTAAACCTAAATAGATCTCAGTCGTTAAGGTAATCACGAGATAATATCTGTCATTTTTTCCTTATCCAACTGGCTTCGTAAATAGGTAATATGGTGCTACGAATGGCGAGACTCACTGAAGATGCCGACGAAACGTCTGGGAATGTACCACGTCCACAGTGCTACTCTGGAAATGATGATGCACATAATAGCTTCGTAAAACTCACGCCAGCAAGCTAACAGCGGTACAAGTAGAAGTGATGCATTGTTGAGGTGCATACGAGTAACACACCATGACTCGTTCAAGGCGATTGGGATCACGAAGTACAAAATACGAATGAATAACTCGAAAATAGCCTGCAATGAACGATATCAAAAGTAGACCTTGGCCAAAAGGCATAGCTAACATTTTGCGTCAAAATTTCGCTTTCTTCAACTTTCCAAGTTCCTCTAATCCCACATTTGTATGCACTTTAATCCCAGCCCTGTTGGGCCAATGAGGCTCAGATTGGCTCAGATCAAAAAACATCGACATTGCTACACCGCTGCACACTATGCTATTCCCATGGTTAGCAGGTCGTCTCGCTTCGTCCATTGTCTTCTGAACGGCCATGGCTGGTTCTGGTCTTGTGAAGCCCGTTGTATGCAATCGGCGTGCTGGCCCGATAGCAGCCACACTTCATTCTATGAATGAAGTGACTTACATTCTCAAGGAAAACAAAGAAAGAACCGGCTTTAGCAGTTCACC